AAAGTGTCAACTGTCACAGGGACCGGGGGGGTCGTGGTCGCGAAACGCAGATCTGTCGTCACTTTTGGACTCGTCTTGCGTCTTCGCGTCTCAAAAGTGCCAACGGTCACAGGGAGCGAGGGGGTCGTGGTCGCGAAACCCAGCTCTGTCGTCACTTCTGGACTCGTCTTCAGAGACAGGGACTGGAGGGGAAAAGAGAGTGACAAGAGGAGAGGAGAGAGAGGCATATGGCAGCCATGCGCTCTCGATTCTTGAATGTAGGCCATGGGGTGCGGTTTAGTTTAAAGGTAATTAAGTGGATTTCTTGTGCATCCTGCCTGGAGTTGTTGAAGAGTTTGGGGGTGTCGTGGGTCGTGCGCCGCATGTACGAACACATGTGCATGTCATGTGAGCGCGTTGGCAAACATATCTTTAATAATTTTGATTAAAAAAGACATTGCACGAATGTCATGCTAACGACACAGTAGCATCAGGATTTCACTGACAACTTGAGCCCTTCTGGTGCAAAAACTGATTAGACACCAATGTCAGGTGCGCAGTGCTCATGTATATAAAGAATATAAAGAAAATACAAAGGATATATTGAAACTAAAGACATAAGACCAGAGAGAGTTATATAGGGAAGTCAAAAATACAAGAAGAAAGAACGTCGTCAAACGTCGCGCGCGTCTGGTCCTTTGTAGTTGCATGTACGTGACACGTGTCTGCCTTCGGGTTCGTGGCTCCTATCTGGTTTTCACACAGTTACGGGAAGGGTGTACATGAAAGATGGTTTCGTGGCTGACTGAGACCCCGGCAATGCAGGGTTTGCAACAGGCATTCCGATTTGAGATGCATCGCCCCTACCAGGCGGATCGTCACATTATCGACGCAAGCTGCCACGGGTTGCAAGGAGCCCCTGGGTCCCACATCATGTCTTTTGGAGGCATAGCTTTCGAGAACAATGACACGGTGACGATCCATGGGCCCTTGAACGTGACAATGGGACCAGGGGTGCGCAGTCTCAAGCATTCAGCCCTTTGGAGCGCGGGAGATCTGCGAATCACTGCGGAAAAGGGCATCGCGATGCAGTTCAAGGACATTGTAAGCGCAAGTAGGGGGGCTGCGGCGCAGGCAGCTCGCAACCTCTGGGTTGAAGGGCTGGGAACCATGCTGTTTGAGAACTTGCACAGTGGTGGAAGTGGCGGCGCGTTGAGTTCTGACGGCCACTGCGTCTATGCCAACGTCGCCCACCTGCTCTTCCGGAACTGTTCTGCAGAGCACCCAGGCGGCGCCATTTTCGGAAGCTCCTGTGTGGAGCTTAACAGCAGCGAGGTGGACAGTGCAATTCGCTTTCAGGGTTGCAAGTCTATATGGCGTGGAGGAGCTGTTGCGAGTCGAGGCCAAATACGGTTGACAGGCAGGGGTACTCATGTTTATGAGCAGTGCCGCTCTGAATCCGCCGGAGGTGCAGTGGGCACCTTTAAAGATGTTGTGGTGGAGCTCCAGTCGCCAGGTTCTGTGGTTTTCTCTGACTGCCATGCTTCAGCCAGTGCGTGGGGCCGACTAACAGGTGGAGGCGGCGCTGTTTGCAGTTACCGGAATATTCGCATTTTGCGTGGCTACCTGCATTTCTCAAGCTGCTCCTCTGAAACCCATCGCGGAAACGCTATGCTTGCAAGTGCGGGCATCATCAGCATTGGTGACGATGCACAGGTAGTTTTAGAAGGCATGGAAAATACAGCAGGTTCAGCAATGTCTGCACGAGTTGTGTCACTTCCGCCAGAAAGCAACGTGCTCCCAAGCGATGTATTTGCAAAAAAAGAAGTGCTGGCCTCAAGGGGCCTGTACAGACGCGACAGAGACAAAGCTGCTTGTCCTGCCGGGTCCAGATTCAAAATTGGCTCAGATGGCAGTCCCATTTCTGGCAAGTGCAAAATGTGCCCGCGTGGCACAGCATCGTTGGCTCCGTCTTTCTTTCAAATTCAACATCAGGTTATGATTCCGACAGCTGGAATGAAGCTTGTACTCGTGCACTATTCGTCTCCCAACACACTGAAATCCGTCGGCATCTCAATCTTCAGTAGCTCCGATGGACTCCAGGCAAACACCAGCGCTACAGACCCGCGCAGTTTGGGCATCACTCGGGGGCTGCCGGACGACAGCTGGATACTAAAGCAGCCACCAGTTGTGCTAAGTCATAGTGGCAAGCTGGCAATGACCCTCCAGGGAGATATGCTGCAGAGCTCTGACGGAGGACGCCTGGCGGTGCCCTTTCAGAATTACGCTGCAGACCAAGCCCTCGCCATCGTCAAACCAGGGGAGGCCGTGAACTGGGCAAATGTCAGTGACTCGGAGATGTTTCGGATAGACAAGCACGGCATCATCAGTCCGTTGCACGCGCCATTTGTGGCTATTGGCGTTGATCGCGATGTCATCTTCAGCTATGCGCCTTCCGACCCCTACGAAGCTTGCGTATCCTGCTTGGACCTTGCGGAGCAACTAGCCGACAAATTGTTGTGCCCTGGTGGAACGCATGCGCGTGCTTCTTCAGGATACATGCTGTTGCATGAACCAGGACAGCGGACACTTGAGGTCCACGCGTGCCCGAACAAGGCGGCATGCCCGGGCAGCCATTTACGTGTTACCGCAGCAGGCAACTTGTCCTCTCGTAGCAGGCTTTGCGCCGATGGCTATGAGCCGACCGCCGGTTGTGTTCGATGTGCTGAAGGTTATGGCCGGCCACACCTGGACCCCTTCATGTGTAAGGCGCGCATGGCCAAGCGTTTTTACACTGGTTTCTTTCCAGAAGCCCCCCGCTTTTCAAAAGCCTCAAGATCCCAGAACTGAACTGGTCTGAAACCCGCGACTTCCCTTTTTGTCCATTCCCCAAGACTCATCTCTTGTGCTACCTAAAGATGATTTGGTGAGGCATGTGGCAAGGCCTCTTGGGCACAGAAAGTCGGCGTGGCTTTGCTTTCCAGTGGAGTCTTCTATGCCCTCGCATTAAATTCTGCAAGGCCAAGCAGTCACACCCAGCAAATTTTCAAGGCCAGGTTGCACTTTTTAAGATTAATTAAGGGTATTGTGATCAGCGAAGAGGGATGTCCTTGAGTTGCAAGTAAATGCATAAGATAGGAACTGTCGGGGCTTGTGTGAGTGCGCGTTCTGTTGCATGAGTATCGTGCTGAGGAAAATTCTACCGGGGTTCGAACATAAAGCAGGAGGGAACGTTGTTTGCTACTACATATAGCAAGCTGCTTAATCAACCTCAGCGGGGTGCATGCAGATTTTGATTACAGGTTACAGGCTTGGTTGGGAGCCTCGCACCCTGGATTACAGATGTAGCTCAGCGTTCCAGCTGCATATCTTAAGGTTTGGATGGCGGCCTGTGATTCAAAGCAAACAGAACCCTGAGGTCTTTCTTTCCTTCGTCACCATCAATTGCCGGAGCCTGTCTGCTGTGCAGCATACTCCAGGATATCTGCAATTGAGGAGCCTTGAGCATAATTCTTGCCTACAGTTGTTTTGCCATTCCTGCTGTAGCCTTCGTGCCAAGTATCGACCGATGAACCAAACACTCAACTGCAAAAGCTCAGCTAGACGTGCGTGATGATGATCCGCATGCGTTAATGCCGGAAACTGAAGACAAACGGGTGCAGACAGGAAGAACGTGCTGTACGAACATTAAACGCAGAAGACGTTCAGCGCAGTCATAATGAGCAGCCGTCCGCATCACAGCAGCAGGGGTGTACAAAATCAAATGACATATGCTAGGTCAACGTGTGCTGGCAAACCTGGGTTGTAAGGAATGATGCGTACACGTCGGCGTCCGCGTTGTATCAGTTCCTTTTTGCGGCAGACTTCCTTCCGAGTGCTGAGCCAGGGCGCTGCGACTGTTATTGAGTCAGGCTTTGGATGATTGGTGATCTGGTTTGCGTGTGCAAGGTAAAAACCATCAAGTAGAGGCAATCAAAAATCTCGGACAGGTAACACGACTAAAGCACAGAAGGCGAAGTCCCGGCAATGTTGTCTAGTTACAGTCTAGTTCCCTTCATAGTTATCAAGTTGTGATAGCTCAGTTGCACTTCTGATACAGTACCCCTCTGGAATGCGCTTGGAGGTTGGGCGTTTGGTCATTCGATTGCTGGGGTCTTTCTGATGGCCCCATCGACTTGTATGCAGACATCGGCCTTTCATGGGCAGTGCCAGTGGCACTGCTACTGCTCCTGGCTGATCGTTAAGGAACATGTTTGTAAGCCATGTTTCTGCTTCGAGATCCTAATGATCCTAATCGCGCCGTCATTTAATAGTAATTACGGACCCTAAGCCTTACACCCTAAACCCTAAGCCGCGTGAAGGATGTCCTGGTGCTGGTTCGGGATCCGTTCTTGGTGCATGTGCCTGGTGGTGTGGGGCAACGTATTCATCCCACCGCTTTGTGGAGCAGCGGCCAAGTTCATGCCGTGCTTCACTACCCAAGAAGGAGGGCAGCGTATCTGGGCTGATGTTATCACGAATTTGTCAATTAGATAGACCATAACAAGATTACGTTGGTAGTTGATTTTAAGCTCCTCAACAGCGAGGTATCCTGATGTATGAAGCAGCCTTTAGCACTACTTGCGCCTCCAGCTTTGCAGAAAGTGCGGCCCTTCAGCGAACTTGTCTTCTCGTGGGGACAACAGCCCTTCTTCTTCTCATTGGCCCAGTCTTGTGGCTGTCGCTGACAGTACGATCTCCAACGGACAAGGAGGGAGATGAAGATGACAAAGCCGTTGCCTTCCTAGTAGCAGGGTACGAGCCCAGGTACCGCTGGTGAGAGGTCACAGTGCTCACAAGAAAAGCAGCCATCTATGTCATCGCAGCATGTTTTCCGATGTCCTGGGCACCTGCAGCTCACTTGATCTACCTGATCTTGACCGTTGTGCTGGCAGAGCTCGTCCACAGTAGCATCCGCCCTTACATCAGCCCACGTCTTGATCGCTTGGAAGGGCAAGCTTTGGGTGTCTCCTGCATCTGCTTGGTGCTGGTGGCCTCGCTGCTAGCACAGTGGCCCTTCCGACCGTATGAGATCTATGTAGGAACCTTTGTCCTCTTGTCCGTCATCACCATCACGGCCTACCTCTACTTTCTTCTCATCTACATCCGTGCAGTGCTTACCAAGGACAATGCCTCAAAGGAAGCAGAAGACGACTCAGAAGAGACCGAAGATGTCTCAGAAGGGGAGGCACCACCGCCTCGGGCCTGATGGTACTGTGAGAGGCTGTATGAGAGGTAGATTTGTGGCTGCTTTGGCCATTGCAGGAAAGATACCTCTTGCATGCCTCTGCAAACGCCAGGCACAAACATTGTTCACGTTTTAAGGAGCAGAACTCACTAAGCTTTTATCCAGCTTGTGAAGAGCGACCCAAGGAAGGAGCAGGACAATTTCGAGCGAAGCTCAGATCTGACACGATTGGGCTGGACCTCTGGCCTGCAGGAAGTAACCCTAAGGTTTCCGGATTGCATAGGGTGTGGGAACCACTTCGAAGGGTCAGGTAGAAGGAGGTATAAGATTCATATCGAGGGTATTGCGATCGGGTTACCCCTATGGGTTGGATTCTCGAGTCTTTGGAGGGTTCCAGGGTCTTGTCTCCGGGGGATAACCACAGGGATCATGGTAGGACCTTCTATGAGATTTCTCTGCCTCTCACACTTCGATATGACAGATCTCTGAGGGGACTCCCTAAGGGTCCAAGGACCCAAATAATAAGGTTGTCGAGCACAAATACTAAATACTGTAACATCAACGGTATTTGGGCCCTAAAGCCCTATTATTTGGCTCCTTGAACCCTTAGGGATTGAATTGCCTTCTTCACAGACCGTGGCGCTGGTTTCTGCTCTTGGCTCATTCGGGCTTCCGTCTAGGTATACGATTCTGTGTAAACATATCATGCGGCAATGCTGGGGGGGTCTAACGTGTTCAGCTTCTCTAGACTCTAGACCCTACTTTTTTCGGTTTAGGGTATGATGTTTTGAAACTTGACACTGCCGTGGGTTAGAGGCAGGGCAAGGGATGTGGAGAAAAACTAAACTCCTACAGATGGAGATCAAGATGGCTGTAAGCTCTTTATAAACGGTTTTGTAAGCCCATGTCTGCACTATGCTTCGCTCTAAGCCTAGATTGCGGAATGCACACGCATGAGCGAGCATATGCAGGTCTAATGAAGTCTTATGGCTTTTGTGCTTGGATTTGCTTAGCTCAGATGGGGCTATGTCTAACCTCCTTTTACAGGGGGTTATGTAGAGGATTATATAGGGGACCACGATAAAGGTTATTGAGGGGATACTGGGAGTTTAGACCATAGCTCACATGGTTAAACCCTAAACCCTAAATAG